CTAATTACCACACAGCTCTTGAACTGAATCATTTATGGTGGAACAGGGAAAGAACTAAGCTACACAGGGCTCTGGCCCCCCAGGACTGGATTTGGACACCCCTGCATTAAGCGATTCATTAATAGGAACTTACAAACACACACCAAAGAATTTGTATCGCCTGTGTTTCCCAGCCTCTTTAAATGCAGATTAAAGCACAATGGCGAAATCCTTAATTAGGTTTTCATTTTTTGCCGCATGTAGTTTTGCGATGGATTTGTGCTCCAACGCAGCAGCCGAGATGGAATTGCAGCGCTTAAGCTTAAATTTCAAACACATGAATCTTCACGGTGTTCATGCCAGCAACCCCTCTCACCTACACACCTCCTATGGGACGATTCTTATCTGGCTTTAAATAGCCACACCCAGAACATAGGATTATTGCTGAAGGAACTATTAATATTTACTGAAGCAGTTTGGTTTAGGTTTAAGTACCTGACAAACTATTCTTTAATCATTGCTACACCTGCTGACCTACATACAGTAATCCATGTTGTAGTCTAGAAAGATCCGACGCAGTATAACAGCCCTCCCCAGAGTCCCATATATGCAGCCAGAAGCCATTTACCCCAAGCATGACTTTGGGGCAACTCCAAGACAGCAGATTACAGAAAATGTATTCTATTCTGTCAGCATAACCTCTTCAAGGAGGACTGTGTCCATCCATCCATCCAATTTCTATACCTGCTTGCCCTATGCAGGATTGCAGGGGTTTGAAGCCTATCAGGGAAGCTATGGAAACAAGGCAGGGAGTAACCCAGGATGGGGCACCAGCCCATCATGGAGAGGGCTTTGTATTTGTGTTACTCATACTTCTCTATACATTTGAACAGAGCTTCGAGTGTGTCTCAGTGTACATTGTGTGTGTATTTAGATATTTTCCTGCTGTAGGTATGCATTTCTATCTGGGAGAGGGTCTGACAGTTAACTCCCCAGCAGTGCACTGGACGCAGCCCCCGGCCCACAGTCCGTCTGGCAGCGGCGCACGCTGAGATGGGTCCGGACCACACGTCGCTCCTAATGAGGCATGCAGCCTCCCTCCACACTGCCCCAAATGTCCTCAGTCAAGTCCCAAAGGAGCGTCAGACTGAGAGAAAGACAAAGACAGACATGAAGAACAAATGGCTGATTATAGACAGATGGAGATCCTTCACTTTATACCTACGGATGGTGGCAGTGAGGCGTGGCCTTCCAGGTGAAGCATGACCCCAGCTCTGTGAAGCACTGAATTTAAAATAGCATAATAAGCAGCAGAACAGGAAAGGATAATGTGTGGACCACCTTACATTTTATTCTCTGTATGTGCCTCTACTCCAGACATACAGTCGTTTCTCCGCACTGAGTGTGATAGGTTTGTATCCCTTATCCTCTGTTTCTCTATACCGAGGGCAGACGGACTGTCTCCTTTCACTGAGTGTGATGGGTTTGTATCCTTATCCTCTGTTTCTCTATACCGAGGGCAGACAGACTGTCTCCTTTTACTGAGTGTGATGGGTTTGTATCCCTTATCCTCTGTTTCTCTGTACCCAGGTCAGATGGACCATTTCCCCTCACTGAGTGTGATGGGTTTGTATCCCTTATCCTCCATGTCCCTGTGCCTGGGGCAGTCAAGCTGTTTCCGCTTGGTGTGTCTGGGTCATTCTTGTGGTGAGCAGCTGGAGGTGAATACACGCTCCAGTCGGGAGAGGTCACAGCACCACCCTGGGAAAAATGAGACAAAGCCACGGAGAGACAAACACAGAGGGCTGCTTCTGACAGTGTGGAAAAGCAGGTTCATACCGAAATGTCATCCTTATTGCCTAAAAAACACAGGAATGAGATATGCAAGATCTCCATCATAAACCAAAGCAGGTTTTATCAAAATTTGTTGCACAATTCTTGATATTTCATGAAACATGTATAACATCTGTTAAAATAGGGGATCCCACCCCTGATACCGGTACGTGGTCAATATTCCAGCATGCCACAGAACATGCACAAGCTATCCTGCAATAACGGGGACTGGTCAATGAGAGGCCAGTATGTACTGGTGAATATATACGTGCAATGTCCCATAAACACAAATATAGTGGAAACCACTTATAGTGATCACGGTTATAGATCAACCACTTACATGGATCAAAACGTTTGAGACAGAATTTTTCCGGTACAAATACCGTTTAGATAATTCGCTTACAGTAATCAAGCAGTTTGCATACAGTGTTCATTTCCGGTCTTTTTAAATATGACAACATATGGGAAAAAATTTAAACGTTTTTTTTTTACTTTAATTTGATCACCCTGTTTTGCCTTGCAGTAACCCGTTTGCTGCGCGCGTATAAAACATGATGACAAATCTGGACTCATCAAAGGTTATGATAAACTGGCAAAACCGAGCCAACGAGAAGCAGCAACGAAACTACTGTACTGTATTATAGCGTAGGCCTATTTGATTCATACACAGTTCAGTCATTTGAAGAGCTAAATTTTGGGACAGCTGTACTGTATTTTGAACGACTGAGTCAATAAAATTCAGTATATAGCGGCGATGTCCGTTTTATTACTTTATATTGGTGTAATAAATGTCAATTAGCTGGTAATCTACCGGAGACATAAATTTTAAAAAATGGGTTATAATGATCACTGCAAGCGGTCTCCACTGTACATATGATTGGGTTGTTTCGGTTTGTTAAAGATGTTATTGCATCCTTCGCAAGCTCCACAACAATATGATTATTCCCTCCTGATTGAGGTGGTATTATTTAAGTAATTCAGCGTTCGTTTAATGATTCCAAGACATTGCGACGTGGATTGACAGCAGCCGTTTTGCGACGGTTTTTGAATCTGTCTCAGTGACTTTGTTGTCCTCTCGACTACTTTTTACTTCTGCCAGCCGTAGATGCTACTTTTAGGGCTATGGGGGTCCGTGAATTGCTCTTACTCAAAAAAAATTTTAAGAGTTTTTCCTAAATCGTTAAGTTAGGAGTTAATTTTAGCCCTAAGATCTTTTGTGAATACGGAACCAGGTCTGTGAATTTTCTGTACAACATAAACCAGTCCGCAGCCATCATAAGGTTGGGAAGCCCTACGTTAAAACATCCACACGAGCGACGTGCTGAATGAAACATTTTAATCTCATTACAATTAAACGCAGTAACATTTTAACGTACATTTCAGTGTTTCGTCATACAGGGGTGGGATTCGTCCGATTACACAAATCCGTTTATCCAAGTTAAACAGGTGAAAAATGAGATTGGAAATACGACTGAAGCACTTTAAAATGGCATAACATCATTTAGAAATATATATTTTATGCCTAAAACACACAATGGACCAAAATTTACTTCTTGAAAATAATATCAGATTGTCCCAAAACAATACATTCAATAACTATATATCAATTATACGTCATCAACGGTTATGTATTTATTACATTTATCCCAGAAAACCACAGGATTCGGCAGATTTAAAAATGAGCATTACATGAGTTACTAAAGTTGATATGCAATCTACCTGCTCTCTCCCTCTCTGTTCTTGCTACACAACACCCTTCCTCTATCATGACGTCAGAAGTCCATATAAGGGTCCGGCTGTGACAAACGCATTTCTCCATGGCAGCACCTGGGGGCACGTCACAGCTGCGCAGTCCGTCTGCAGCTCAGGCTCTCAAGGCTCATCACGTGAAATAATACTGTAAAACGCCTCCCGGGGGACAACTAGGTCTGCAGCACACAGGACTACCCGTGCTCATACAGAGAGAGGACTATAAAACATTATATATTTCTTAATGTTTGTTTTAATTCTTATTCACGGTGGTCCTAGACAATGGATAAACTCATGACTAAAATTGAAAGGAAAAGAAAACTTTTTTGGTATTAAGTTTAAATACCAGACATTTAAGCCAGACAGCATCAAAGTAACCGGTTTCCCCAAAGCAACGCTTGGTCCCTTACAAGTGAAATATTTACCACAGTGATGTAAAATCGATTGTGTCTTTCAGCAACAAAAAACACTTGATTTCATTTTATTGAAAAGACAGGCAATGACTCGTCTCTGAGATAATGACCACACTTAAAACGTGCACAGTACCAGCAACAAACAGGTTGCCCAAAATATTAGGCATGGTTGCCTGGGTAACACCATAAGGACAGAGTGTATCCACGTTTACATGATTCATATATCAGAAGAGAAAGAAATTCTTACATATATACAGAGTACTGGTGTCAAACAGCCGAAATCACGAGCCAGAGAAAGAGCACGTCAGGCTCTAAACAGCAGACTGGTGTGGGCAGTCACACATTTGCGCATCACACTGTGTGTGTACGTATGTGTGGACACTGTAGACAGAGGCAGGCAGGACTGCGTAAACGTGTGTGTGTGTGTGTAGACACCGCAGAGAGCAGGACATTGTAGACAGCTCTCCTTCCTGTTGTCCCCCCCCCCCCCTTTGTCCTCTTGCAGAGTTGGGGCCAGGGGGGCTTCTTCTGTAGTCACTTTTCTGAGGCCTGGTTGGGCTGGGGGACTCACTGCACCGCACACATGGAGCTGCGTGGGGGGTTCACTGTCCGAGTGACGGGCTCCTGACTGTAGTTCACAATGTCGGCCTTCACCACGTGCTGCAGACACAAAGAGAGAGACACAGACAGACAGACACAAACACACAGACAGAGAGAGAGACAGACAGACACAAAGACAGAGGGGCAGACAGAGACAGACAGACACATACAGAGAGAGCGAGACACAGACAGACAGACACAAACACACAGACAGAGAGAGACAGAGACAGACAGACACAGAGACAGAGGGGCAGACAGAGACAGACACACACATACAGAGAGAGCGAGACACAGACAGACAGACACACCCACAGACAGAGACAAGACACACCCACACAGGGAAAGACACAGACAGAGAGTGACAGAGAGAGAGATGCACGGATAGACAGAGAAACAGACAGACAGAAAGAGTGACACATAGAGAAAGACACAGACAAACAGACAGAATGAGATAGAGACACAGACAGAGAGTGACATAAAGAGACAAAGACACACACAGACAGAGAGAGACACAGACAGACAGAAAGAAAGTGACACATAGAGAGAGACACACACAGACAGAGAGAAAGAGAGAGAGAGAGACCCACACACACAGACACACACAGACAGAGGAGACGCTGCATTACACACCCGGGGCAGTAAGGCCCCCACCGCAAAACTGTCATGTGACTTTGAAGAGGCAAGTTTGCCCCTCTTGTTCAGGAGAAATATCCACTCAGTGACATATGACCATCCAGGGATTTAAATTACTGCCCCATTCATTCCCAGCAGCCCACACTAAATACACAACTGACAAAGAATGAACATTAATAAAATAAAAAAAGCAAAATGAAGATGATTGATGATAATGATTTTCATGATGATTAATGATGATCTATATGACATGCACATGTAGAGTAAACGTCTTGTACAACTATAAATAATATGGCCCACAAATAGCATAATTAAGGACTAGGAACTAACTTTAACTTTATAACTAAAAAGGTCGAACAGAGCTCATATGTCGACGTGAAACGTGGCAGTTTTTTAAAAAGCAACATGGAGGCCCAAGTCAGCTTTTTACATTCACTGTGAAACAGTAGCACGAATCAGGAGGTGACTACGGTCTTTCAAATGCTGACCAGGGGGGACAAGGGCGACACAGTCACTCCCAGAAACAAGAGGCATCTGAGAGAAACTGACCATCAAAACAGATCGAAGGCTACTTCTAAACACATTTGCTGGTTTGACTCGAAGTCCCTCCCCACCTGCTTTGACTACTGAACACAGCACACTTTGCTGTGATTGGCCTCCTGTCTACTGGGGTCTTCGTCGTGGGGATAGTCCACCAACTCCGCCCGAACGACTTTCTGACAACGGAGCCGGATGGCGTCAAGTCCGGCGGAAGAGACGCAACGGGCGGGAAGAAAAGGAGAGACATGGAGAGAGGAAGACAGGAGGAAAAGAGAGATGGAGAACAGGGAGAATGGATATGGGACACCCACAGAGAGAAAGGGAAAGTGAGAGGATGAAAGGCAGAAATAGGGGGGGGGGGCAGACAGGAGTTGAGAGACAAGAATGAGAGAAATTAAGCATGAAATGAGACCAAGAGAACAACTTTAACTAAAAGGACAGGGAGAGTGCAAATGAACTGAAGGCAGAGGAGACCCGGCTGACAGCATGATCCCGGAGAGGTCGTCTGGAGAAGACATCATGGTGCTTGTCTGTAAAGGGCAGAACTCACGCTATAAAAATAAAGGTTGCCTGGGTATATAATAGGTCTGGCTGCTCACTCTCCCCGAGACCCAGTACCAGGAGACCGGGCCAAAATGGTGGACGCCCCCCCCCCCCGCATAGCATCGTTGGCTAGCCCGCCCCCCCTGGGGATAAACAAGTGCCCCACCCCGCGTCCCCCATACGTCATGCATGAGTCTTGACTGTTCAGCTCCCCCACTATCTTATCAGGCCGACGGCAGACCAAGATGGAGGGAGACCTCAGGACCGTCTTATCTGGGGGGGTGCATGTAGGGCCCTCTGAGTCAGGAGTGTTAACAAAGGTCACCTGCCCCCCTCCCTTTGCCATGGGGAGACAAGATTCCCCTGCTCTGGCATGGCAGCTAATTAACCCCTGTCACCATCTGCTCTGGGTACACCGAGCTGGGGGGGGGGAACAGACCCGCAGGAGTATTTAAACTCCTTGCGCAAAATGACTCTGAGCCCCCCCCCTGAGCTCACCAAAAAGACGCTCGGCGCCAGGAGGCCGGCCGAGTGGAGATGCCCCCCGCCCCCACCACCGGAAAGCTACAGCAGCATCCACTATGGGTCCTCCCTGCCGGCTAATGTAGCGTAATTAGCCTAGCCTGATATTTACATTAGCGGACACACTCCGCCGGGGATCCATCACGCCTCACATGGTCTCCATCACGGCGCCACCGCGCCCGTGTCACACCTCGCATTCCGCCGCGCCGTAAATCAGAGCCCTCGGCTGCTTGCTATTTGTTTGGCTTGGATCTGACCACTTCGCCCAAGCGCGCGGGGGGGGCGAGGAAGCTGATGGGTAGCCAGTGATGATGGAGGTCTTTATTGGGGGGGGGGTGTGCTGATAAGAGGGGAACTGGGTGCCGTGTCGGCGTGAGGATTATCCGTCACCTGGGCTGCCCCCACGCCTCCAGGAAAGGGTCATCCCCAATTCACCCCCCTCAGAATCTCCCCAGTCAGCTTGTCTCCACCAAGTCATATCACAGGCAGGATTAATAGCTATTCAGGAACAAGCTCTAATCTTATCGTTTCAAACCAGCCACCCCCCAGCCTGGTAATAGTGGGGTGAGGGGGGGGCACTGGAACCCCAAAGGCTACACTTGCACATTCTTGCACCATTAACCTGCTGCTTTTCACAGCCCATCTGTGCATCACCCTCCCAGCCTGGCAGCAGGGCTTGGAGTACTCCCCATTATTGGGGGGGGGGCATTGAAGGCAGCCTCCCTCACCTGAGACTGCTCCATCTCGGCCTTGGTGAGCTTCACACCCAGGATGTCCGCCGCCACCCGCTGGAAGCAGAGGGACACCTTGGGGACAAGAGGGAGGGCAGAATTACAGAGCGGCAGGATAAGCTGCCTGCTCACTTTCCATACAGCAGTCCCCCCCCCATAGCCCACACGCTGACGCCTACCCACCGAGTCACCGGTCTTGGCAGAGACGAAGAGGCTGAGGGTCCCGTTCTCCTGGCAGAAGCGCTGGTGCCGGTCCGCCTTGACGGTCCGCATGTGCTCCAGGTCAGCTGCAGGGATGTGCAGATGAGGCCCAGTGAGCACCGGCAGGTCCCCACACTGCTCCGTCCACATCTGGCTCCCCCAGGCGCCCCAGGAACGGCTACCCTAGCAGCCCCCAAACCCCAAAAAGTCTCTCTGCCAGGCAACTTCCACAGGCCCTTCCCATCTGCCCTAGAGCCCTGACGGTCAGTGCACACGCCTGTTTCTCTGCTTCCAAGAGGTGAAGTCACCCGGGGAGGTCATCCCGGGGTCACCAGAAGAGGTCAGCATGGGGTCACCGGGATTGTAGTAGCATCCAAAGCGGACACACCGAGCACATGAGGGTGCTGCAATTCAGGCTGGGGAGGGACGGAGGTAGGGAGCCCCCCCACCCCTCACCCACACTAGATGGGAGACTCGTGGACAATCTAAAATCAGAGCACCCCCCAAAAAGGTATTAAAGCACTGGGAAAATATACCAGTCCTATTTACATAGGATCCATAAAGCTGATAGCCTCAGTGCCTGTAGAAACATGTACCCACAATGCACCCTGACCCACACCTCCAGCGTGTCTGCTTCTCACACTACGGGTAAACCTGGCACTTCAGCCAGGGTGGGGAGGGGGGGGGGTTCCTATTTATCCCCGCAATTAAGAGCAGAGTTACTCCATGTGCTACCAGACGTAAACACGGCTAATCCTTTAGATCCTGCACACTTGGCACAAGGCATTCATCACCTGCCAGGGCCGATAGCCAGACGGGGCGGGGGGGCTGCCGGCGTGGCAGGGGGGAGCGGTAACGTAAACCTTCTGCCATTAGAAGCCTCAACCAAAGCATTAGGGGGCTCTCCCTGGAAGCGCTGTGCGGGAGGACACACACAGACGGGCAGGAGAGCATGAACACACACACGCACACACAGACTGGCAGGAGAGCGCACACACACACACAGACAGGCAGGAGAGCATGCACACACACACACACACACAGAGACTGGC